GGCAGTGTTACTGAGTAAATTCACTGGTGACTTCACCCAGTACTGAGGTTTTTTGTTGGTTGAGACATTTGCTTCCATGCACTGACAGTGTCAAGACAGTTAGTTCTTGGGAACCTTGGCCTCCTGCCCCTGCCTGTAGCTGACAGTGAGCACTTTATGTTTGCAGCAGAATGTGCACAAAATGTTTAATGTTAGCTTTAGTTTATATAATGCAGTTGACAGAAGTAGATGAGCGCATGCCGGACTAACTAACGCAGCATGCCTGCTTAGGTTAACTGCTTACGTCAACGGTCATAACGTTAACTTAGGTTAAAGGTAGTGTGCCACCTTTGAAGGATTTCCCATTTAATTTTTCCTAGGATAAGAAGCTTCTGTTTTTACCTAATATCGCAAAAAAAAAAATCAAAAATGAGCCTGGAATAGTGCCTTTTCCGCCTAAAAGTTTATCGGTTTTTAGATATGTATAACAACTGTAGTGGGCTCACCTGCAAACAGGCGTCGGCAACAATCGCGAATGCGGCGCACATGTGACAATAAGCAAAGGTCATTATAGTGTTACGACCATACGACGTACGGGAATGAGTTATCAGCTGTCTAATCGTAGACAACACAATGTCGAGCTTAAACTGTAAGCCTGTATTGGTATTGTTTCTTTTATTTAGCTGTCGAACATTATTTATGGTTTGAAATATGATTTTATGTAAAATAATTGATATGAAAAAGCCGTCTCGTAAGTTATGACCCCATTTCACCACACGCAAGTGGCAGAAATGACAATGATCAGCTGACGCATTTTTCTTGGCCGAAGTCAGAGCGCGCAGCCCGACGCACCACCACCGCCGCGCCCAAAGCCAGGGCCCCGGTAACGTGAGGTAGCCGAGTCGGGGCAGCGTGCGCTGACCCAAGCCGGGGCCGCAGCTTTGGGCGCGGTCTACCGCATCCCCGCGGGCAGCCCCGGGCTATCACATGACACCGGGAGGACGCGCGGCTCCGGCTTGGGTCAGCGCACGCTGCCCTGACTCGGCTACCTCACGTTACCGGGGCCCTGGCTTTGGGCGCGGTCTACCGCACCACCTAACAGGCGTGTTCGAAACCGCAGGAGCTGATGATGAACGGGTTTATCGAAACTTGATTGGATGAGCATATCGGTAATAGCGATTTCAGTGTGTGCATTTATTGTTCATAGTGGTGTGAAATGTGTTTGGGGTACGACCGACAACCCGTCGGGGCGAATTTCGCACTGGGGTACTCAAAATTTGAAGAATCTAAGACGTTTCCATGAGTTTTGAAGGTATGGATAAGTTCTAAAAATCCGGTTCTCCTTATCTGGGCCATTAACTCCATACGGTCCAGGAAAGCTGGCACACTACCTTTAAAGGTAGTGTGCCAGCTTTCTTGGACCGTATGGAGTTAATGGCCCAGATAAGGAGAACCGGATTTTTAGAACTTATCCATACCTTCAAAACTCATGGAAACGTCTTAAATTCTTCAAATTTTGAGTACCCCAGTGCGAAATTCGCCCCGACGGGTTGTCGGTCGTACCCCAACCACATTTCACACCACTATGAACAATAAATGCACACACTGAAATCGCTATTACCGATATGCTCATCCAATCAAGTTTCGATAAACCCGTTCATCATCAGCTCCTGCGGTTTCGAACACTCCTGTTAGGTGGTGCGGTAGACCACGCCCAAAGCCAGGGCCCCGGTAACGTGAGGTAGCCGAGTCAGGGCAGCGTGCGCTGACCCAAGCCGGAGCCGCGCGTCCTCCCGGTGTCATGTGATAGCCCGGGGCCGCCGACTCGGCTACCTCACGTTACCGAGGCCCTGGCTTTGGGCGCGGCTTCTGCTCATACTTTGTGGTGCGGTGGTGGTGCGTCGGGCTGCGCGCTCTGACTTCGGCCAAGAAAAATGCGTCAGCTGATCTTGTCATTTCTGCCACTTGCGTGTGGTGAAATGGGGTCATAACTTATAAGACGGCTTTATCATATCAATTATTTTACATAAAATCATATTTCAAACCATAAATAATGTTCGACAGCCAAATAAAAGAAACAATACCAATACGGGCTTACAGTTTAAGGCTCATTAAGGCTCATTGTGTTGTCTACGATTAGACAGCTGATAACTCATTCCCGTACGTCGTATGGTCGTAACACTATAATGACCTTTGCTTATTGTCACAAGTGCGCCGCATTCGCGATTGTTGCCCGACGCCTGTTTGCAGGTGAGCCCACTACAGTTGTTATACATATCTAAAAACCGATAAACTTTTAGGCGAAAAAGGCACTATTCCAGGCCCATTTTTGATTTTTTTGCGATATTAGGTAAAAACAGAAGCTTCTTATCCTAGGAAAAATAAAATGGGAAATCTTTCAAAGGTGGCACACTACCTTTAACGTTATAACTCGTCACAAGGTTGTATGGGAAGTACCCGACTCAGGGTCTCATGTAGGGATACAGGGAATTACAGGTTTCAGCTAAATGCTGCTGAACCCGTCGCTCGTCACTTGCTATCAAATAATAAATGACGTCCAGAATGACGGTGATATATTGAAATTGAAGAAAACCGAATATGTAAACTAGTTTTATTTTTAGGTTAATTTTAATCAGTAATGTTTTAAATACATTCCTCATTAATTTTTCTGTCGTACATTAGTTTTACCGCTTTGAAAGGAAGAAGTAAATGTCATATTTCTTAGAAAGCGCACTGTAAGAGCGTTGTTATGTCAGCTATCGTATGTCTGTTCGAAAAATATCGTATTCCATCGCTCATGACTGGTAATTGTGCTAATTTCCTAATTGCGCAAGTGTTTCTCCGCCGACTGCGCTCCTTCCGGCCCCGGGATGGAATGGTTGCTCTCGTGTGTAACGGTTTCCTATAGCACACGTGTCTTGTGACAATGTCGGAAAACGATTCTGCCGAATTCTTCTCTAGAGGTGATATCTGCAAGCTGAGATATTAACACCTTTACCCTTTTCAATTTCTCATGATTTTTGCGAAGCTATGGCAGCATTCTTAATCAGCGAAAGCATGTGTCCGTCCTTTCGCTTCTGCCGTCGCCCCAGTAGTATGACTTTGACCCGGTGACCAGCGCCGAAGGTCGGCGGGAGGCGCGTGTGTGGCGTCACCCCACCTGGGCCGGTGCGGCCGGGGCCGGTCCCACGGCGCGCCGGTGTCCTCCACTGGCCGTAGGCACGGCGCCGTTCATTGACACGGCCGCGCGGCGAGATCAGCTGGTCGGGCGGCCTATCATAACAGAGCCGCCGGCGCGGCGGCCCGGGCGGCTGTTGCCGACGGCCGCCGGCCGACCGGCCTCGGACAGACTCGTCTGCGCGCCCGGACCGGCGAATGGTGGCGGGGCTAGGTGTGCCGCCCTGCGCGGCTGTGGGGAATGGGGGGGGGGGCGTAACGCCAGATGGGCGAAGGTGGATCGCTACGGACCGTCTGTAGAGCGAATGGATAACGGGGATTCATTTCAGAGTACTAGGGGAGCATAAGCTGAAATGCGGGTCGTAAGCTGACGGTGACAAAGCCGCTTGCAAGCATCATACACTTCATGCGTGATTGTGAGAGGAATGCCTCCTTTGTCGGCGGGAAGCGACGTGGATTGTAAAGGGTATGGGCACTTTGACCACTCAGTCTGACGCGGAAAAATTGTTATCGGAGACGTGCCGATGCTCGACTCAAACTTGTCCCGGTCAAAGGTCTGTCGAGTCCTTTCAGATAACCCATTGCTCGGCTCGGCCCGCTCGCCGTCCTTGCGTAAATGCATGGAGGGGACGCGCTCGGTAGATAGGAAGTGGCGCCGATAAGATAAGTGTTGCGCATGTCTTTTGACGTCTGTAGGAAGTATCAAAACTGAGCGCTGTTTCGGGCTGGTGGTCATTCGGAGATCGGGGACCTGGCGTTCGGTTTCCCCCCGGTGTGACCGAACTGTGCTACAGTGATTCATTGCGAGACGAGCGATCGAGCCGACAGTGTTCTCCTCTTCTTCTCTCATTCCTGTTAACTGTGTAGTCATCTATCATTTGTGTATCCTGCTGTATTCCATCTTTCAGTCAGTCCTTTCATCTGTGATCTTTTCTTTGAGCCATTTATTTTTCTCGTTATTTTCCTCGATATTCTATCATATTTCAAATCTATCTATATCCAAGTCAAACGGTCTTCGTCCATTTAACGAACACCTCTCCAACTGTGAATCTCTTTTCGTCTCGGAATCTCACGTCGGTCTGTGATGAACCCGTGGGAGTGGCACTATACGAGGGCCCACGGCCGCGCCCCCAGCCTGAGCGTGCTCCAGTTGACACAGCTGCAGTACCGCTCGTCGCCGGCCCCGCTGCTACCCGCCCCCGGCTGTAAGTGGTGGCGACAGGTGTTCTGCTGTGACGTGATCGGCAAAGGGTGCCGACATTTGATCTATCGATATTAGAGAGGGCAAACGGGGATCGGGTGGGATCGGGTGTCCTTTGCGCTGGGGCTATGAAGGGTAGAGTTGAAGGGACTTCGATTGCTAAATGTGGGATCCCAAATTAATCAAGTCTCTTTCGATATTTTCTTTTGATTCTTTGATACTGTAACTGTGACCTCTCCGACGACAGTATTATTTTATGACATAGCCATTCTCGTGTGTATCTGTCCCCGGTACCTACATGACCTCGCCCCAGCCATGTCGGCCCGCGCCGCGCCCGAACGCTGCCGGCATTTCCCAGTAGCTGCCGGCTGCAGCTGCGGCAGCTGCAGCGGCGCGCGCGCGCCAGGTGGGAGTCGGCCGCGTCCGTTCCGGTCGCCGGCGCGCCTCTCCCGTGACCGCAGTCCGTCATTGCGGCCGTTTTTGTCCACGCATCACCTGCCTGTTTGTGGGCCGTGTTTGCTCAGAGCCGGCGGCCGATCACCGTGTGTCGGCCGCGCGGGGTCCGGCCGCTGCGCTGAGCGGTGTCGACTGTGCGTGGACTGTGTGATGGCCGTGTAGTGACCGTCCTCTCTCCTCCCGGCAGACAAGTCTGAGGTGGTTCCCGGCGCGATGCCGGACGGCCGAGCGGCGGCCATGAACCCGGCCGGCGGCCGCTACCCGCAGCAGCCGGGCGCGCCGCACACGATGTACGGCCGCGGCGGCCCCGCAGGTCAGTCCGTCCGGCCTCTGAGCCCACGACGCACCGACGAGGAGCGGTCAAAGGGACACGGCAGGGGAGGGGTCACGAGACTCTGCAGGGAGGGATCGCGTGACAAGGGGAGTGAGTTGTGACGATTGGTGCCATGCTTGAGCCCTCCAACCCAAACCCATTGGCTTACGAAGCGAGGATAGCGGGGAGTGGCGGATAGGGTTCATTGAACGGTCTTGAAACGGTTTCACGGTGACTGGAATTCTTCATCATCAATATTCTTCTTTGTAGCTTTCGTTGCGGTTGATTTTGCTCATGCACCTTTTGCTGAATCACTTTGCATTACCGTATGGTCGTTCCGTTATTGACATTAGGCAGAGCTGAATCCTTCCCGTGCCCATATCTGACTGCGTTCGCTCAGCCACCATTTCGCGCCCCTGTCCCGATCGCCGGTGGACGCTAGGTAAATCCCCGGTTTTACGACCCCGCTCCTAGCTGCGACCCGGCTCCATTTTGTCGTCATCGGTGGAGTACGGGCGGGCCGATTGGGATTAGCTGGGTGTTTGTGCCTCTGCGGAGTCCGCTTCTAATGAGACGCGGGCTTATCCGTGGTGTGGGGGCATCTAAAGGCGGTAACGTGAGCCGATCCGAAAGTGTCGTTTTTCTCCGGGGACTTTATATTTAAAGGTTAAAAATTTACGATGAGTACGGGTATGTTGAAAGCTGAAAATTGATTTGTTATGAATACAATGCAGCCGAATATTGTTAGGTACATTTTACCCTCTTCGCCCTCCCAGAACTAACTCGAATTATCTCGAAGTTATCTCGAATTTCGTAGGTCAGCTCTTTTGTGGCGGCCCGGTTCATCTCAGAATACGGTTTTCGACGGCGGCCATCCATCGCCGGTATTAGGGCGGCCGTTTCGCTCCCCTGCCCCGAGTGGCCTGTTCCGCAGCCTGCCGACCCGGTCCGTCTGTCTGTGGCGCAGCGGCCGCCCCTCGGTTCGATCTGCCGCCGTCTGTAGTGCGCAGACACGGTCGGACTCGGCCAGACAGAGGTCACGTGCACCGCCAGCGGTGGTAGTGACGTGTCCCCTGACGCCGCCCCTGGATAACCCGTGACGAGCTCTGTTCGTATGGGCTTATCAGAAAGCTAAGCTCCGCTGGGCCCGTCTCAGTCTGGACTGTTCCAAATTGCTCTCGGGTTAGCTGGGATGCATCGTCTCCATCCCCACTTCGCCTCAGGGGTTGACCTTGCTCATGGGCTGACCTTTCTGGTCTGTGGCCGGTCGCTGGATGTCTCTGTCTGGATGTTTCTGTCGAACCGTCGCCGCAGGGGCTGTTCCGGACTGACCTTTCGAACTGCCCGGACGCTGTCGACATGTCCCAGCTGCAGACTGTCTCGGCCCGGGCATCTGTGTGCTGTGCGCACTAGAGTGGCACCTTATTTCGGGCCAGGAGACCGGTGGCATTAGAGCGGCCACTTTCAATCTCATGCGCCCTTCGGTGTATTGGGGTGGACGTAAACGGAATCATTAATTTGACATGGTCTTTATTCCGAAACAGACGAGCATAGTTTTCGCCGTCTCTAGTGGTTTATTTACAGCACGCTCAGCATGACAATCAAATTTATTATTCAGTTTTGTGTATGCTTTTTCCGTTCGGCGCCGCAGAAAGCAATGCTGCGGCTGTTGGTATAGTATAGACGATCATTGGTAGGTAGCGTTGTTGACAAATGACTTCTTGTGTGCCTTGCCGGGGTGCTGGACAGTGCCACAGCATTTGCGTATTGGGTAATTGTGCGTTAGGAAACTGGTCGCGGGCTGTTATCCTGTGGCCTGTGCGAATCACGATAACATCGTTATCATTAATCTTTGGACCATTTACAGGGCAAGATTGCCCGACGTTTTCCAACATCGCCTTGTTCTTTAGACTGTTCATTGCACAACGTCCATGCCTTTGATTATCAGCGTTTCTCCCTTTATCAGTTTTGTAACATTGATTTGTTATCTCTTCCTTAGGGCTGGATGCTTATATATAGACCAAAGTTATTTATCTTATGGTTTTGAGATGTCAGTAATAGATTTGTTCTGTATGTTTATTTTTAGGTTCATGTTTTAGGACGTGCGGATCTTCCTATCTTTATTTTCGTGTTCATACTGGTCTCAAGAATGCTTACAAGCATAATCGGAAGGTTGTGCCTATTGGAAAACAGTTATAGGGCGCTACCACCCGATCATTAGTTGATACAGACGGCGTGAGCTCTGGTTTGATCAATAGCACGAGCCGTCCAGTTCAATAGGGAGTCGGTCTGAAAATGTGTGCCACTCTCAGTTTCTACCTTCGACCGATTGCAGCGATGCGATTGATATCAAGGCTGTCTGTGATCCAGGCCCCGGCTGGGACCGTTTCACCGGCGCCCGCTATTCAGTGGAACCGGCCGCGTGTCGGTCCGCCGCGATATCGCCGCACCTTTCTCGCGGCGCACCGGACCGGTGCCGGCTATTGCAGCACGCCGCATGGCCGGTGTGGCGGCCACCGGGGCAGCCATGCGGCCTCCAGGTGACCCAGAAGGCCGCCCCGAGACAAAGTTGCTCGTAAATAGCCGGAGCGCCGCACCGCACGGAGGCCCGCGGTCGCCGCGGTGCGCGCGGCGGCTCCCCGGTGCGTCACTGGCGGTGTTGCGTCATTTCGTCCCCTGCTGTAACGGTGTCGCCGCGCCGCACCGCCGCGATCTGTGCCGCCCAGACTTCCCCGTCTCGGCCAGCCGCCGCCTGGCCCGGCTTATCTGTCCTGTAGAGGCCGGGTCCGGATGTTGCCTCGTGCCTCGGTCCCGGGAGCCAGGCAAAGGTCGGTGGTGGCGGCGCTGAGGGCGACAGGCGGGGACTCCGGACATGCTTGCCGATAAATTGATGGGCGTTGACGATAAAATGGATGGGGATGGGAACGGATGGATCAAAATGTTATCAGTGGATGGTGTTTACTAAAGGAATACGTGAAAATAAATGCAATTTAGTTATTAGATTTATTATTTGGCATCGCCAAAATTACAAACATAAAACTAACTACGCATTATCGGCCATGTGAACGGGGTGTACGAAGTATAATCGTCAAAGCATACACCCACCCCTATGAACGATGATCTTTTCGCATGAATGAAAACCAGCCGGCATGACGGGTATCGGACGATATTACTGCTTGTGATTCATACTCATGTTTGCTTGGTATTCTACGAACTGTGTGGCATGCATGCTGGTATTGATGTACCAATAACACCGGCTCAGTTACGGCACGGTCGAATGGTACGCCGAACTACATTGCATACGTCATGGTGACGTCAGCAGCTTTTACTTTGGGTCTTCCCACACGGTTATTTGAAGCCAGTCATTTTCAGTATCGATGCAAATAGCATGCCTCATCACAGCACAGCCTTTGTGGCTGGCTGGTTGTTTGTGCGCTATCTGATGCGTGCATTGGACGTTGCCGAACGCGTGGGCTACCCGTGCGCTGTCTGGGCGCGTGCAATTGCGTTGTGTGCTGTTAGGACCCTTGCGTTGTGCGCTGCTTGGTGCATGCCCGGCCCGTACATTGAGCGTGCCTGGATGCGTGCATTGTGCGTTTGGCGCGTGCAATGGGCGTGCCCTGGCGCGTGCATTGTGTGCTGTTTGGGCGCGTGCATTTTGTGCTGTCCGGTGCATGCCTGGACGCCTGCACTGAGCGTGCCTGGATGCGTGCATTGTGCACTGTCTGTTGCGTGTAATGTGCGTTTTCTGACGCGTGCAGTTGTGCCCTGTGTGGCGCGTGCTGCAGTGCGGACAGATGGGCATCGCACGTCGGCTGTTGTCGGACGCCGGATGGGGCGCTCACACTCCACTGTTGTCCTCTCATATCGTGCCCATCGCGGTGGGTGGCATCACAATACAGACGCCGACGGCGGCGAGCCGACGGCCAACTTATCGGACCGCCCGCGCCCGCCCGTCTGTCTGTCTGTGTGCCTGTGCTGTTGGTTGGGGTGCGCGCGGCCCAGTGCTGCCTCCTCTTATCATTCCGGCTGTAACCATATTACCAGGGAGGGTCTTGACCGGTAGGGAGGAGAAAGAGGGGTGGCGGCGGCCGGCGAGTTATAGGAGACACTGGGTGGGAGGTGACAAATTGGGATCGGGATCAGATATGGGGTGTGGGTAGATGAAGGAGTGGCGTGTCTACGCCCTCGTGATTGAAAAAGTAAAACGAAAGCAAAAATTTATTATTTTTGCGTCGAGAAGTAAAAAAAAAAAACTTAAAAATCATAACTATCGGTTTCTGGCCGCGGCGTAGCCCCGAGCTCCGTGCAGCCGTGGGACGTTATGCCGTGTCCCGGCGGGCCCGGCACGTCCGCCGGTTCGCCCGTTTTCCTCCCCGGCTCCCGGCGCTGTCTGTCTCAGGGCTGAGCCGGCGGCGACCAGCAATAACCGGAACTGGGGGCTGGGCGGAACACGGTGATTTCGGTGGCTCAGGGTGCGGCGGTGGCTCTTGTGGTGTGAGCTCAAGCCGCTTGTGGTTTAATCACATGGCTGGGACTCGTGTAAGTTGCTGTGGAATGCGCCGCTAGGCTGGTAGGGTTCGTTATTTACTCGTGATGTCCGTACACATTCATTCGTCACTCTTTGGAGCTCACTCTGGTTTGGACGGGAAGTCTCTGGAGCCGACACCGGAACCAGCCGTTGGAATTCCCAGCCGGCCCGACTCTAATCCGCGCCCGTGAATGTTACCGTCCGTGGGCCGGGCCGGGCGCGGTTCGTGCCTTGTCGCACGGTGACCTACGCCGGCCTCTCGCGGCTGGAGTGGGCGGAGGCGCGGCCGGCGCCGTTGCCATGCATGGTGTGACGCTGTGCAGCATTTATCGCGCACTGGGTATCCGGCGGTATCGGACGGTGACGCGATCATTGTTCGGTCGCAGTGGCGGATGTTGTCGGAATGGAGCGAACCGGGGCGAAAATCACGGCCTAGTGCAATTATCCCGGCCATGATTTTCCTGTCTGG